TGACATCTAATCTAAGTAGAATGCGCATGTGAGATAGCATGAATCTGATATATTATATATATATATACACACACACACACACGTCAATAATATTTTTGGTGTATCAGATCCATTTTGGACGTTAATAGCCAATATCATACCTATTAGATACAATAAAAACATTAGCTCATATCATATATCGAATGCTGCGGTGTTAAAAAAATGATTCTTTTTTTTTTCTTTCTGGTAGTGCCTTCAGTGTCAAGTTCTTTTCTATATATTGTTTGTGATTCTTATGTTTCTGTCAACACTTTCACACACACACACACATATATTCTTCATATGTTGCATTAACATTTGGAATTGAAATCTTGGTAAATAATATTGGTTCATTCAATCTGTTGTTAATATACAAAAAATATTGAAGTCAAATTGTTATACATATATAGATGGAGAGAGAGAGAGAGAGAGTTGGGCACAAAGGCAACAGTTTTAAGTACGTAAACCACACACAAGTGTTCCCAAACGAAAAACACTTTGGCAGCACCACTTTTAATTCTTTTGCTGACGTCCTAGAACACATGAATCAGATCATCGGACCACCTAAGATTTTCATCTTTGGGCGATTCTACAGTCTGATTGCGCAGACATTCTTCAGTGACACACACAGCTTCAACCGCTCACGTATCTGCTCATGCTACATTGGCATGGAGAAATATTGTGTGTATTCCCTCCAATGGCAGATACATAGATGAAAATGTTTTCCTTATATAATGAGTTCATACATTTGACACATCCTAAGAGAAATCTTAGTTTTCATTGTTGTGTACAACCATTCTTTGTCTTCCTCATCAAGTAGGATGGCTTACGAGATGAATGAGATAGATAAAGATAATGATTGTTGATAAGCACATGTAAGAAGTAGGATGGTTAAATGTCACTTCGAAAATTTCGTCGAGCTCACCAAAACCTCTCTTATCCTTTCTAACAACACTATATATTAGCAAGTGGTCATTTACTACAGTAGTGGAAATGTGTTTTGCCCATGCATGACGGCGTGGTTTCAAACCTCGTCGGTAGCTAATTTAATATTTAACTTAGTAACGCTATCGTTCGACAAAAAGAAAAAACTATATATTAACTTCCAACAACAAAAAAGCAATATTTTTATCCTAATGGGTCATAAGTGTAAATAACGGGTAAATTGAGAGAATATATAGCTCAGACTATTAAGCTGCGATGCAAAATAATACTAATAATAATAATATATAATAATTAATTAAATAAATAAAAACTATGGATCTATCAGGGGTGGGGCTGACTGAAGTTCTTTCGGGGATGAGTAAAGATCAAGCGAGTTAATAAACAATCACGGATCACCCTACACGCAAGGTTTAAAATATCGATGATATCGGAAATATTGGTAATCCAAAAACAAAAAAATTTCGATGGAAATATCGGAATATTATCGATATCGATAAAAATTGAATAAAAACCACGGAAATTGTAAGAAAAACTTGGAAATTTTTATTGAAACTTTGCATAATGTTTATTTAGTCAATTATCTATTAGTTTATCACAAAAAATTGGAAGGAAATGCATTGCATGATGGATTTAACTGATTTAAGTTGAGTATATAGCAAGCTGGCAAACATTGTGAGTGCAGAAAATATGTAGTAATTAATGAAAGAAATTTAAACACACCATAATCATTTATATATAATGAATTAGTACAATATTTTACACTTTATACATTGCATGGTAAGATACATGAGTGACTTAGTACAACATAGAGTTCCTATCAAGGTCTAAAATATCGATGATCTCGGAAATATTGGTAGTCCAAAAACACGGAAATTTCGATGGAAATATCGGGATAATATTGATATTTTAGACCTTGCCTACACGTATGAATTAGAGTTTCCTATGAGTGTTTCAGCAGTAAAAGTATTCAGTAGATCTGCATCAATGTGTTGAAAGTGAATTTTCGTAAAAAATGAGATAACAACTTACATGAAACATGATAATAGCTATCGTGGTGTCTAAGACCACTAATACAAGCTAGATGCATGGGTGGGACTCTCTTCGCACACAACTTTATATTATTAGTAAGAGACGTCAAATAACGGTAAACTTGTTCTATAAAATTATCTCCTAAGATTGACCCAACATTATGTAATGTATGGTTGAGAAGAAAGATGACCCCGTCCGTTCAGACTTCCTCCATTCCCTCACTCCCCACTCCATCCGCAAATTTTTCAACTGCTCGTCCCAAGTCTCACTCCTATTACATTTTTCTCCTCCTCCTTTGGAAATCATTGTCCTTCTCTTTTCTTCAGTACTTAATTCACCTGTTAAGTTCAGAGTCTTCAGATCCTCATAATCCATTGATGTGCCGATCAACCCCTCCCTCAAGTCCTCAAACACTCTCCCTCAAGTCCTCAAAACACTCGTCAGCCTTTTTGCCTTCACATTTTCAGGGCAGGATTCCGTACAGAGCCAGCTCCATTTTCTATTTATAGGGAAAAGAGAGGAGGGTGGGAGCCTACAGGTGTACAAAACACGTTTTGCTCTATTCACCATCAGATTTTGACCCCACAGTTTTTTCTTTTTTTGTACGTATAATTTCATGATCAAGAGGGCCCATGACCCACATTACAATGTGATTTTACACCCAATGGTGGGGCTCACTAAATTTGGCTGAGGTACGACCCAGATTTGGACTTGGACTTGAAGTAACTCCCACCCAGATCTAAAATATCGATATTATCCCGATATTTTAATCGAAATTTTCGTGTTTTTGGACTACCGATATTTTCGATATCATCGATATTTTAAACCCTGATAGGAACTCTATGTGGTACTAAGTCACTTATGTATCTTACCATGCAATGTATAAAGTGTAAAATATTGTACTAATTCATTATATATAAATGATTATAGTGTGTTTTAACTTCTTTAATTAATTACTACATATTTTCTACAGTCACAATGTTTGCCAATTCGCTATATAATCAACTTAAATCAGTTAAATCCATCATGCAATGCATTTTCTTCCAATTTTTGTGATAAACTAATAGTAATTGACTAAATAAACATCCTGCAAAGTTTCAATAAAAATTTCCAAGTTTTTCTTACAATATCCGTCATTTTTATTCAATTTTTATCGATATCGATAATATCCCGATATTTCCAACGGAATTTCCGTGTTTTTGGACTACCGAAATTTCTGATAACATCGATATTTTAGACCTTGCTCCCACCCAACCAACCAATCTATCCATACAAGTTCATCATTTCCAAGTTTTATGTTAAAACCTAAAATTTACACAAATTTAACCCATAATTTGGCCTAAGGTTCAAGGGCCCACTAAAATTTAGGTTTTAAATTAACCTATTCATTCTTCAATTGTTGGGCGGAAAAAAGTTTTGGGTTAAGACTTAAAATTTGAGTAATTTAAAATACATTAAATCTAATGGTTGAGATCAAATATAATCAAATTTGACGGTAAAAAAAATCTAACGGCCCAAAAATCCAACGGATGAAACAAATTAAAAAAATTAAATCAAAATTCAACCATAAACTCTATAAATACATGTTTCTTTGGATCGGTTTAGTGAATTTTCAAATTTTTTTTCGGAATCTAAATATGTTTAGGTTAAAATGTTCTTAAAAATAAATTATGATAATCTACATGAATTTAGTTTTGAAAAATGTTACCGAAAAAAATTTAGCCAAAATTTATATTTTAATAATCTCGAACTAAAATTTTAACCCAAAACTATTTCTGGGTTAAAACCTAAATTTTCTAGGTTAAAAATTTGAGAAAATTGCAAGAATGGTCCCTCAACTTAACCCAATTGGAGCAAGAGTCCCTCAATTGAATCCATGACCATTGGCCTTTAACACATCAAAACGTGTAGTTATGGTCATTTTCGTCAACTTCGTCATAATTTTGTCAAAATGAGTCATGTTGGAAGGATCATTACTGCAATTAGGTTAAAGTTGAGGGATCATTACTGCAATTAGGTTAAAGTTGAGGGATCATACTCCAATTGAGTTAAAGTTGAGAGACCATTTCTCCAGTTGGGTTAAAGTTGAGGGACCATTGCTACAATTTTTCTCATTTGATTTTTTATATTTGGCCCTTGTTTTACTTCATGTGTGTGACAAGTAACTCATTTTGATGAAAGTTCTAACGGAGTTGATGAAAATGGTCATAGCTGCACGCTTTGATGAGTTAAGAAACCAATATTCACAAATTTTTAATTGAGAGACCATTACTCCAATTAAATTAAAGTTGAGGATCATTGCTACAGTTTTCTTTAAAATTTTACATTTTAACTCAAGGGTAGGAGATGATCTACACATTCATTCTTGATTTTCCTTTTTTTTTTCCCTTCTAATAAAGAGGAAATTTTTAAAATGCTACATAGCATTGACGATGGAGAAATAAATTGCGGAGATTAAAAATAGAAAATCTAAACAGTTGCGAAAATCAAATTTGAACAGCTAAAACACTTCCATTGAATGATACATAGCATAGAAACCACACCAGAACCCAACCGTCTCAGTTGTACACCTCTATTGCAAGGATAAATTCATCAAACACATATTCATTTCAACCAAATCAATTAAAAATGAATTCCCGATTGATCTAAGTTTCGTGATCCAATAAGTAACGCTTAGCATGACTCGAAAATAGAAAACTTGGAAATCATAAAACATGAGATTTGGTGAATCCTGAGGCATAGTAGTTAGTGAGTGAGGATTTCCAAAGCCATGGAACCAATATTTGCAGGCGTATTCGTGCGTAATCATAGAATTGCTCTCCACATTAACATTGCTTTGCTGAAAATCTCCTTCCCTTATCACTCTTGCCATTTTGGTGTTGATTGCGAGAGCAAGTGGCTACTGAGGTGGGATGTTAAACAAGATTATCTTTTAGGCTCCTAATTCGACAACCCTCACAAAAGTCTGCACTCACAACAAATAGTAGAGCCATTGTAGCAAGCACTTGTGATCTAAATATCAAAGACTACTATTAGTATCAAACACTTGTCCAAACTCACCATTGGGGTCGGAGGTTGAGTTAAGTCACACAATGAGCCAATAATACTTTGGTATCGAAGTTACCATTCTCGGGAGTCAAACCTACGACCTCACATAAACAGGAGGAGAGAAATTCCACTAGATGTGTATAATGATATTTATACAACAAAAAACATGATCGCAAAAGGAAAACTTCAAATATTCACTTATAAACAAAGCATTCACAGGAAACGGGTGAACTACCAACTCTTTGCACGTCCGTCTTTCCAAACATAAGGAGGCACGGTCAAGAACCAAGTAATCTCCATGAATGTCTTCTGCAACTCTACGATCATCATCTACATATACAGATTCAAACCCACAGCTTTTGGGGGGTTTTCAATTATCATATCATCAAATTAATTGCAGATCAAAATCATTGAAAAAAAAATGGTTGCTGGCGAACCATAGCAAGTACCTAGTCATTATGTAGAGAGTGCATCTCTAACAAGCTATATGATTATCATGAGCATCATTAAAGTACTAGTGATATTTATGGACAACCCTTTTTTTTCTTTTGCTAATTTTGCAGATTGGAACTCAATAGTTCTGTAGAAGGCAGTTTCAGTCAATTGCAATATTTTCGATTAATATCATATTTAGATTTTAGTTACTTTCTCCTCTGTAATTTGTTCCTTTCTCTTGTGGTAATAACAAATGATTGCATTTCTCAGCAAGAAAATTAAGAAGATATTTTCTTTGCAAATATAACAAAAATAGGAGGCGGAGGTAAGGGTCAGGAATCCATCACTTTGACTTCTTGAAGCAGTTAACTGTCTTCAGATTTCCTAATCTGTTGTCTAACTGGTCTTTCGAGCTTCATTTCGTGACAGTATATACTATAACTTTGACCAGTAGCAACTATGAGCCCCTAATTTTACAAATATATACCTCTAGTATAGGCAAGAGACAACGGAATTCAGATACAACAGACTGTATGTTTAACGCCTAACCAGACCTTAAAAAAATGGGAAATTGACAAGGCTGTGGATTGATGAAATATGCAAAATTCAATGAAAAGTACAACATACTCTAAGGTAAAAAAACTAAGGGTAAATTACACAGTAGCCCCTCAGGTTTTGAGGTTTATTACAACCTCATACAACAACTTTAAAACATTTCACTTTCATACCACAAGTACTATTTTATTTCAATATAATACATCCGTTAGATTTTCCATCCATTAGTCCGTTAAATGCTGATGTGGCTGCCACATTTGTGACACGTGGCAAAAAAAAATTTAATTTAAAAAAAAAAAACCTAAATCTTCCAAATAAATTATAAAATAAAATAAAAAGAAAATTAAAACCCATCCATCTCCTCGCAACCCCCCCTCCCAAAACAAATCCAGATCCTTTTTCCCCCACCCCACCCACCCACCTCACAGAAACCTCATTCCTCTTCCTCACCCCCCTCCTCCTCTCCTCTTCTCCCCGAAGAAGAGGGAGGAAGAAAAGAAGAAGAAAAAAATTTGTCCCCAACCCCCCCAACCCCAGCGACACAGAAGAAGAAGAAGAAGAAGAAGAGGGTAATAAGAAAAAGAAGAGGGAGGAAGAAAAGAAAAAAAAAAATTAATTTGTCCCCCACCCCCCGCCCAGCGACCCACCTCCGGTCCCCCCTTTCGGCCCGGCGACCCTCCTCCCTCTTCTTCTTTTTCTCCTTCTTCTTCTTCCCCTCCACCCCTCCATCCATCCCCTCCACCCCCATCCCACCCCCCCCGACCTCCCCGCAACCCCCCCACCCCCACACAGAGCTGTCAGAGGCAATTTTCAAAACCCTAATTTACCAAAAAAACCATAAATTCGATCAATTTCACATACAATTCATAAACCCAATTCAAACAGATGCGCATTTGATAGAGAGAGTAGAGAGAGAGGAAGAGAGAGAAAGAGAGAGAGAGAGAGAGAGAGAGAGAGAGAGAGAGAGGGAGGAGGGCTCCCATGATGAAACTGGCCCAGTTGCCGAGCACCATCGTGCTCTTGGGTGGAGAAGGCAAGTGGGTCGTCGCGCGCCGGGGAGGGGGGAAGGCAGGTGGGTCGTTCTTTGTTTTGGCTTTCTGGAACTCTGATTTTTCTTAGCAAAATGGTGAAGACCAAGAAATTGAAGAAATGGCAGTGCAGCGAAAGCCCCAGTTGGTGATGGGATTCGAAGAGAGGGAAAATGATAAATGGGAGAGAGGGAAGGCAGGTGGGTCGTCGAGGGAAGCAGGCGGTCGTCGGGGGTGGGGGGAGAGGGTAGTAGGTCGTGTGTAGGAGTGGGGGGAAGGGATTTTGTAAATGTGAGTTGAGTTGCAGAGAGATGAGGGGGTGGGATGTGGGGAAGGGGAAGGGGATCTGGGTTCGGGTTTTTGTGGGGTTTTTTCTTTTTTTTTTTTTTTAATAATAGGGTTAATATTATAATATTGTTAATGTATAAAAAATTATTATTTTTGCCACGTGGCAGCCACATCAGCACAAATGTGGCAGCCACGTCAGCATTTAATAGACCATTGGATGGAAAATCTAACGGAGGTGTTATTTTGAAATAAAATAGTACGTGAGGTATGAAAGTGAAATGTTTTAAAGATATTGTATGAGGTTGTAATAAACCTCTACCTCAAACTTGAGGGGTTTCTATGTAATTTACTCAAAAACCAAAGTTATGCAAAAAGATAAGATCTGGAATATTACGAGAATGGAAGTAGTAACATTCTGAAGAAGAAAAAAAACGGTGATGGTTGGCTTTGAAAAGTGAACTCACATTGTGTCACTAGGAGAAATAATGAGGTCACTGCAAACAACTTTCTTCTTCATTCTTTCCAAGTGTAGGGAGCACGGTCTACAACCAAATAGTCTCCTCGGATATCCTTCACAACTCGAATCTCGTCATCAAGGTACACAGTGTCAAACCTAAAAAGAACCAAATTCCCTTAATACCCAAAAACATAAAAGCTAAAACAAAGCAGCACCTCCCCAAGTATCACAAATACAGATTTGGGTTGATTAGAAAAACATTAGTATTGAAGCCTTAAAGAATGCAAAATGCACCTCAAATTAAAGCATCAGATTTCTGTAATGTCAAGTTGTATGCTGATATTCACGCAGATAGTATTGCCTGTCAGAGGTTTTGCTTTTCTATCATGCAAGGGTAAATACAACTAAACCAGGCCGTAAATTTTCTAATTTCTTTCTTTCTTTCTTACTAGTTTTGGTTAGTAATCAACTCAAGAGTTGAACCAGCAGTTTTCTTCAGGAGACATGATGAGTCTTCTGGAATAAACCACGTGTACAAAACAATGAACAAGATGCTACTATCAGGTGCATAACTTCCTTGTGACAGAAGATTCAGCCTGATCAATTACGAGTAAACAACCTATGGTCGTTTACGAGTAAACAACCTATGGTCGTTTACGAGTAAACAACCTATGGTCGTAAAGACCAAAGTTTAGACTGCTTTCTGTGGCATGATAAACCTAAATTCCAAGTTAATCACGCTATTAAAACCAAGCACCTAAAGAAAAGATGATCTTTAACAAGTAGTTTTCAAATTGCTCTACAAAACAAACAACTTGACTATTATAGTAAGCAGTAGTTTTCAACAGATGTCTGTTACTAAAGTTGAAAATTCAATGCTCCGGGGCCATTAGTCACACTATTCACCTATCTTTCAAGGTAGTATATTAATCCAGAAGTAGAAGCTAACTCTCTCAAAATAACAACATTCAGAAATTCAGCATCCATTAAAAAGGGCTCTAGCAACAAGAGGTAGGTTTCAAGCACTGGGAACGCTGATATGTTGCCTAGAGGAACAAGCAGGCACACTTCCTATATGATAAGAAAAGTGGACACCAAACAAAGCTCCTTTGTAATTGAATCCCAAATTACGGAGGAAGGCGACATCTTTTCCGAAGCAGCTCTATGTCACACCTCAAAACCCACAAATGAGAATTAAAAATAGAGCAAATCAAATAGGTACTACCTATCTTCTTTCAAAACTAGCAACTTCTGGGATTCAGACGTCAAGAATAAATTAAAAGGAAGTATCTTTCATGCAAAGAAACTTCATCAGAACAAGAGCAGTGATAAGAAGACTTATTGTTGGCACAAAGTACCAAGGAATTCCAATAACTGGAATTTGTACCAAAGTGATACGTTCCCCCTTCAGTAAGGAGTTCTTGGGTTTAAATCATGGAAGGTGAGGGATAGAACAGAATAAAGCTGTGCACCTCTAGGGCCTGTTATTATTTGTTTCAAATTTGGAAAAAAAAATACTGGAAAATGCGGATATATGTACACTCCCACACAATGTAACAGAATGATTCACTTTGTCATTGAAATCAGAGGTCAGGATAACAAAGAATAGGTAACGTAAAATAAATAACCAAAGAAACATTTATCATCACATATCAAGTTCAAAACAAATAAAAACCAGTAACCAAAACAAGTGGAGACATACCATGGATAAAACTCACTTTACAATGAAACTAATGAGACTGTAAAATCAGTTCATGCCTTCATGAGACCGGTGTCGAAGCTAACCATACGAGTGAAGTTCATAATAGTCGGTTTCAAGCTCAGAGATGAGGTGATAGAGGCAAACTATATGGCTGAAGTTCATAACTTTTCTAACCATACCAAGCAAAGCAGTAACGACTTGGGATTTTCTTAACATCAGAAAATAAAGCACTCACCAGCCCTGCCCGAACGGCGGCAATGGAATTTCCCAGCTTTTCCCTCTTAGAACTGCACTTGTAAATCTAACACAAACCAAACATCACCAATTGATCATACAATAAAATATAAATAAGTAAATACCAAAACAGAGAAAAATAAACACTTCCCAAACTTCCAAATTGTAATTCGAATCAAAATTCAACTTCAATACCAAATTCTAACACATACTTGAAATTAACCCTCTGATTTGAAGCGATGGCGATATCAGAGCGGACGAAGAAAACCCCATCCGGAGGAAAAGTGATGACATTGTTGAGCACCCTTTGCCCGACATCGATCACCTGCAAGACGTCGCCGGTTTGCGTGCCGAACAAGGAAGCTTTCTGGATGATGAAGAGCTGCTCCTTCTCCGTGGTCCAGAGCAGCCGCCATGTGGCCGAGAGGGAGCCGCCGGTGGTGACGCTGTCTCGGCCAAGATCAGCCAGGTCGTCGATGGCCTTGACGATGGAGGCGAGCTTTGTGGGGTTGTTCTGGGTCATGAGGCCGCGGTCCTGGTCGCCGATGAGGTTGAGGAGGCGTTGCTTGGCGAGCTGCGATTGGGCGGTGGGGGCGGAGCAGGTGATTTTAGCGGGGCTGGTGAAGTGGGGTTTGAGGGGGATGGCGCGGAACGGGAGGCACGTGGCCATTTGATTATGGGGGGAGAGGAGAGAGGGGGAATGATGGTGGCGTAGTGTTGAAGGTTTGAGTTATGGAGGTCATAGCTGGTAGTGGAAGTTGAATTTTGTGAACTGGATAATTGGGGATAATTGCCAAATATTCAAAAATAGAAATTCGTAAACAAAATTTACAAGTTAAATGATGTGTCATTAGAAATGAACACGCGTTTAATTAATAATTTAATTATCAAATTTCATATCATTTAGTTTTCAAAATTTTAACGATGGAATGTTTCATTAAAATATTTCATTAAAAGAGTAATAGTGCCAAATGAGTATATATTTTCTAGAGGTTAATCTCTTGATATAGAGAGAAAATGTAAATAATTTTAAACTCTTATTCAACCACCACAAGAAACCACTAAAACCAATATTCTTGGAGTAAATATATCACAAATACGGGAAAATAAATTAGCATGGCATGAAATAATTTTAGATTTTTTTTTTTTTGATGAAAAAGCAATATATTATTGAATTTCAAATAAGATTACATCATGGGGTGTGCTATCCACATATCTCTTTTTACTTCATACACATCCTCTGAATTTGTAGGCATTGGATCGACTAAATTAAACAAGATCAAGGGACATAAATTAACAAAGGATGTGTGAGAAGTATAAAAAGGTGTGTGGATATCAACCCCGTACATCATATCTTGATAGAGAAGGTCCTGGATAAGATTAGGAGGATCCTCAAACTCGATCGCTTGGCACCTAACAAGCAAAAATAGCATGTCATTCAATGAGTCGTAACTCAATTGGTTATAAACAAAAATTGTAATAATATTTTTATTTATAAGTGCGATGTCTTAGGTATGATTCTTGTAATAAAAAATTACTGAACTAAAAAATTATTAAAGTTGCCTCATTATGTGACTTAGCTAAAATTAATAACTCTTATTATAAATATATGATTGTATTAAAAAAGAAATTTAATGTAGCAATGTTGTACAAAGTATGCAAAGATTATGCAAATACACTTTACCACAATACTATAAAACAATCATACGTATACACCATTGACACACCCCGACAGAGATCAAGGCATGCTGGCCGTCACGTGGGAGTGACGTAGCCATGTGCACAGTGCGGAAGCAATAATGAAAAGAAATATACGAATAATCAAAAACCAAATTACTAGAGTGCACTATTAAACAGGAAGTAATACGAGTTAGTTACAAACATAAACACTCCTAATCAGAGCATAATAAGTCTAGGTGCAGTCCAGTAGGACAAGTACTAGTTATATAGTACCAGGAATGTCCTACTATTATTTAGATAGGTCAGAACTGCCGACGTCCTCAAGCCATCAACAGCAAACTTACTTAAAACCTGGAGGGGCGCAAAACATAAAACGTGAGTGTGAAAAAACAAATGCTTTACAAAACCATTTCATTTATCAATATACTAACCCCTCGCTGTAAAACATGTATAATTTTTCACACAATCAAGAAATAAGCATATACATAATATATACATATATGAAATCATATCAATTCAATTCATGCTTCACATAATTATATTCAAATGTATGTCATGCCAAGATATAATAGAATAAGCAATTCAGGTAAGAATAAATTCATAGAAATATGATATGTTAGCCGGAACCCATGTGTAGTCTGTACGACTGAATTCATAGCTCAAAAGTCAATATAGCCAGAATCACTACAATGACCTATACGGCAATATACTGCACATAAGTCGGAACCACTAAAAAGGGGTCTGTACGACAAGATTGGGTGTAATATAATTATGCTCAATTTTACTCTCTCATAATAGCCGGGCAATAAATCGCTAGTCACCTACGAGTTGAAACCATAAATAAGGTCTGTACGACAAGACTGTGCACTTAAGTTGGATCCAATATGAGCATATAGTGTGGGAGGTGACGTAAATAAACAAGCCTGTACTTCATATGTTTGGCAAAATCACAATCACCCTAGGTGAAGTTTTATGAGCTCAACATTATTCAATCACATATCACATCATCGATGATTCACATAACCAAACATAACTTACCTGAACTTACATATGCCTCCACAGCACCACATATATATATATATATATATATATATGCAACCATGAAATGCATATTCAGAATATAAAAGCATTTGACATATTATTTCAAAGCATACTTTCCTTAAAAAATTCATTTCTGGGAAAAATATCAAGTATATAAATATATACTGAAAACAAAAGCCCACTCACTGGTATGTCGAAGGGTCGTAGCCCCCGAGTCTCTCGTGGATATGCTCTTCCTCGGGATAAGCCTCACCTATATGGGAATTAACTATAAAAATGTTATTTTAAAGCACATAGGCAAAAACTAGCTAATAAATTCTCATACAATGCACAATTTGGGTATATGAATATATCACAGTGACCTACACAACCTCAGGATCATTCCCAAATTTTCAAAATAATTTTCTGTTGGTGCCGGCCAAGGCACGGCAATACACGTCGCTACGCGCAGGGGATCCTGACGGATTCTACAAACAGCGTCAGGAATATTCTGTTAAATCCTAACAGTAACCGTCATTCCTAACTGACGGTGTCAAAATATTCCGTCCAAACTAACGGAATATTATGTCTTCGTCTCCGGCGAGTCGTCGGTCGCCGGAAAGCTGGGAAAATTTCTAATCGTCTATTCTCACTCGTTTTTCAACCATTTTCTTCGAAATTTGAACCAAATGAAAGCTTAGAGTGAGAAGAATGACGTTATACCTATTTGAAGCTTCAAATCTCACGAAATCATGTTGGGGAAGCTTCGAAATTCCAACCAAACCTGCAACTCTTCGTTTTTCGCGATCTCGACGTCCAAATTCTTCCAACAAACTACCTAAGCTTCCTTAGGACCTCCAAAAGTTCACTATGAGCTTAGAATTCCATGAAAACAACATATTTACGTGTGCATGAACAATGCACAAATCGAGGGTTAGGTTTCACGGGGTTTTCGAAGGTTTTAGGTTCTAAAGCTTGTACCAATGGATTCTTGAGGTCACAAGGAACACAAAAATGCTTACCTTGGTTTCGATCTGCAAGGTTTGGGATGGTTTCTGGGTTGCCCGTACAAAAATTCCGAGAGGGAGAGAGAGAGAAGTCCACGGGAGATAGAGAGAGAAGGTATGTGTGTGGTCCAAAAGCCACCAATCAAAACCAACCATTCCCTTACTTCCAATTGGGTCCAAAAACTTAGGAAAAATAATAAATGGGTCCAAATCCAACTTAAATCACACAATACACTTTAATGTCCAAGAGTAAAATTATCAATTCACGTCATCGAAAATTAATTATTCGGGACGAGCTGTGACAATCTCCCCACCTTATAAAATTTCATCCTCGAAATTACATACAACCACTACATCCACTAATAATCATAAAACAAGCATGGATACATCTCTCTCATTCGATTCTCTGTCTCCCAAGTAGCTTCTTCTACTGAATGATTTCTCCATAATACTTTCACCAGCACACGATCTTGTTCCTCAGTTCATTATCCTTCCAATCCAACAGAGTCACTGGTTCCTCATCATAAGTTAAATCCGGATTAATTTCCAAAGGTTGAGGAGGAATCACATGTGAAGGATCTGAAACATAATGTCAAAGCATCGAAACATGAAATACATCGTGCACCTTTGACAACTCTGGAGGCAACTTAAGCATGTAAGTAACCTCACCGACTCGCTTGGTGATCATACATGGTCCAATGTACCTAGGACTCAACTTTCCTTTCTTTTCAAATCGTACAACACCTTTCCAAGTTGATAGCTTCAGAAATACCCAATCACTTTCATTATACTTCCGATCAGTGGCATGCTTGTCTACTAAGCTCTTTTGTCGATCTTGGGCCGCTTTCAGGTTACACTTTATTACTTGAACATTTTGAGTAGTCACATCCACAATCTTAGGGCCCACTAAAACTCTTTCGCCAACCTCTGACCAACACAGAGGCGTACGACAAGATTTCCCATAAAGTGCCTCAAATGATGCCATACCAGTACTCGAATGATAATTGTTGTTGTAGGCGAACTCCATCAAATCCAAACAATCATGCCAACTATCTCCAAATTGCAGCACTGAAGATCTCAACATATCCTTTAATGTCTAAATAGTTCTCTCATATTGTCCATCTGTCTGATGGTGATATGCCGTACTATAAAGCAATCTCGTACCAAGAGCTTCCTGGAATGCTATCAAGAACTTAGAAGTAAATCTGGGATCCCGATCCTAGATAATATTAATTGGCACACCATGATACTTCACAATCTGCGACATAAATAACTTAGCTAATCGGCTTAATGAATACTTCTCTCTCACTGGAATAAAATGTGCTGATTTCGTTATTGGCACACCTACTCACATATTCGGCAATTTCTCTTTTCATACCTAGCCAATAATAAAATGGTCTAATGGTATGATACATCTTAGTGCCTCCTGGATGCATCGCATATGCCGAAATATGTGCTTCATCCAAAATTTCTTTCTTTAACTCTGCATTATTTGGCACATACATTCTACTTTCCTGCATAAGCATACCATCAGATTCTCAAATCCCGAAATCTTTATTTTTGCCTTGATTTCTTGCTTGAATTATTTCCTGGGTCTCTTCATCAATCATCTTAGCCTCGAGCACACGATCAATTAAAATTGGCCTGACTTGAAAATTAGCAAGCAAAGCTTCTTCTCGATCTTCCACTCCTAACTCCACTTCAGTGGACCTCAAATCTGCTAGAAGAGGAACATGACAATCATAGATGGCATTAAGTCTAGTTGGAGTCTTTCTACTAAGTGCATCCGCCACTGCATTTGCACGACCAAGATGATACTTAATCGTGCAATCATAGTCACTAAGTAACTCAATCCACCTCCACTATCGAAGATTAAGATCTCTCTGAGTAAACAAATACTGAAGACTCTTATGATCTGTGAAGATCTTACATTTCTCACCATAAAGATAATGTCTCCAAATCTTCAAAGCAAATATGATAGTTGCTAATTCCAAATCATGTGTAAGGTAATTATTCTCATGAGGTTTCAATTGTCTCGAAGAAT